TTGTTAGAATCCGATGATGAAGATATTATTGCTTATCAAACTAAAGATCGAGATTCAAAAGTGATTCATAGGACTATAGGAATAGATTTTTATTTTTTATTTTTTCAATCTTTAAATTTTGATATTTATGAACNCTCCTTGGGCCGGTCGCGCCTCCTGTGGGCGTTGTAGGAGCTTTAAGAGCTCTTCGTTCTATTTTATCAGACGTTCATTAACAAGACGAAGGACCTCCATCTCATTATTCATGGGAAGGCCCCCCATGGGGGGACAACTTCTTGCGCGTTTTCGGGTTGTCTGTTATTTGTGACTTCCTATTGATCTTGCATCCGTAGAGGATTGGTCTGACTTCGGCTCATGTTTTACGTTGATACCATCAGTCACTAAAAAATCAGCTTTATTTGTAACAAGAACAATCGTTCTCACAGACGGCGCCAAACTGATGGCGTTAACGCACTTTTACAAAAGATGAGCTGGGATTATGTTAGGTTGCTAAGATGATGCCATAATATTCAGGGCTTTAAAAGTTAAGACAACAAAATTATAGTGGTTCACCAGCTTAGGAGCTTGACTAGTCCACTCTAGAATGGAGGCTCTTGCTCCTTTTTTATTTATTCATGGTGATTACAAGGTTGCTATGACTTATTTTTGCCACTCGAGTCCCCCCTTTGTTAGGGGGTGTTACCTTGCATTTATAAGGTCATTCTCTGCTAAGAAGGATTTTAGCCGAGATTCTTGTCCTTATTTCGTGGGGTTCTCCTTAATTCTAGGAGAAGATCTTGGTTGGTTGAGATTGGGTGCCTTGATNTCTCTTCGAGAAATGCTCTCTGTCTCTTTTTGGAGACCTGCCTCATTATCTTTCCTTTCTGAGACTTCATTCTCTATTCTTTTCTTCCTTCTCTTTCTCCTTTCTCGACGAAGGGCTCCCGACCTTGGAGAGGAGCNTTTCCTAACGCTTTAAGATCCTCTCGTGGTTATTCAGCTGTTATCTTGCCTTAAGAGACACTCGACCCTTACCCTCTGACCTCTGCTAATGTCTGACCTTCTGGTCCGAGCTGACCTTAACACTAGAAATTTATTTTAGGTATCATCAAATCTCATGTTTCATTGTACATTCAGTCATAGGTAGTGTATTCACAATTTAGGTTTCTAGACGAACCTCTAACTCGACATAAGCATATGTTATTACCAATATTGCACGGTCAACTTCAATGCCAAAGTAACTAGCGCACAATATACCCAATATACCCAAACNAGAAATCGAGGTTGGGGGGAGTTTGTTGAACCATGTTAAAGCTGAGCCCTTCAGGATGATAGCAAAGGCTCTGCATCTCACTGAATCTTGATATTCATGCAACTCCATTTGATTTTTGTATATGTTGAGGTGGTCCACGGAATCTTTTGTCCCATCGAAAACATCCACCTNCTCAGAGACATTGTTCTAATTTCCCAAATCAATTCTTCAATCACCTAAAAATTACTTCAAATTTCCAGTTACTAAAAAGAATCAACAATCAACTCTCTCTCTCTCTCTCTCTCNGCATCCACCTGCAGCATTCTGAATTTAGGTGAGAGAGGGAAGTGCAACACCCCAGCAGTGAATGAGGATTCAATTTGCTGCACCAAGGCATCCATACTGACTGGGGCCTTACTCTTCACTGTCTCCTTCATCTGGCTGAACTCTTGCTGGATGTCTTTGAAACGTTGCTCCTAGTGGTGTTCTCTTTTCTCCTGTTGATAAGGGAAGAAGTCGCTCCTCTCCCCTTCCTTATACNCACGATTTGATATATATGATATATTTTGATATAGGAAAAAAACAATAAGTTTTCTAAAAGTGTATCCTTTTACAACATTTTTTACACACACGCAGAGTTCATAACCATGGTAATTAGTATCTTACGATACATGATTTGATATATAATATATATTTCGATATAGGAATAAAACGACAAGTTTTGTATAAGTGTATCCTTTTACAACATTTTTTACACACGCAGAGTTCATAACTATGGTGGCTAGTGTCTCACGATACATAATTTGAGAGTTCATAACTATGGTGGCTAGTATCTCATGATACACAATTTGATATATAAGATACATTTCGATATAGGAGTAAAACAATAAGTTTTTCCTTTACACCATTTTTTATGATACATGATACATATTGCACAATACTATTCGATGCACAATACATTATGACACGGATCACATGGATTCAAAAGGGAAAAGGTTAAAAAGAAAAAGAGAAGAAAAATGCTCTAGATACTCTGTATATATATTGTTTAATGTCCTGACTAATTCACTCATTGTAATATTTATATAATTTATATTGTCTCCATGGGGGCCTAGAAATATTTCGCAAATAAGAAAACTATTGAAAAGCAAGCAGTTGAAAAAAAATATTGAAAAAAGATGAAAACATACAGAAAGGTTGAAAAAGATAAGTGGCGGTAAAGACTTGTTAGAATCCGATGATGAAGATATTATTGCTTATCAAACTAAAGATCGAGATTCAAAAGTGATTCATAGGACTATAGGAATAGATTTTTATTTTTTATTTTTTCAATCTTTAAATTTTGATATTTATGAACGATGTTGTAAGCTTGAATTTTTAAAATTTGTTTTGATTCTTGAAATATCTTTATCGTTTTGATACTCTATACATACGCCCACGCGCAGATATACGTGTTTATGATGATACACAATACACTTAAAAAAACAATATGCTCTATGATACACGTTTCAACAATCTCATACATATACATGTGAGTTCATATATATACGTATCTTACAATATATGATCCATTACTAATATACGATACGTTAAAATACACAATACATTAATTTTAAAAACAAATTATAAGCCCTCTGATACACGTTTTGATGACAAACTTGTTCGAAACTACAGTATAATCGGTTTTCCAGTATGTAAGAGTTTCTGAAACTGAAGAATGTATCATTCCTATGTATCTACGACCATAGTAACTCTCTTCTCCTTGCCCGCCCAACCTCTCAATCTTCCTTTTATTTTGCACGATTATAAGTGCCGCCAACTTCACAGTAGTCAAATTTCAATATCTCACAATCACATTACAATGAATATGTCAAGCAATTTGATTGCCAACATCTACAGTATAATAAGAATGAACTTTGTCACTGATTAGTTATTACTCAAAAACTATCTCCCATTCTCCATGGCAGTCAATCAAGCAATTTATATCTTGTGTATTGTCACATGTGTAAGACGTCATTACCCATCGCCTCACCCAGTCTTGAACCCCTTTTCCATTGCTTGCTCTTGCTTTGCTGGGGCATCTCCACCTCCAACCAAGTCATTGCATATGAAATGAACCTTCTACTTTAGTTCACTATTCAAATCCTACACACTATTGAAACACTTAAACAAGGACTACAAATCAGGATGGCTTCAATAAAGCATCCATCCATGTGACATCCGAAATTAAAAGACTGATAACTACAAAGAGATGCTACTAGCCACTAACTAATTCAACTTCAACATGGCGCTAGCAAAACAAACCAACTGCAGATCTCAGTAAATAACTACTCACGGATGCACCTAAACCAACATATCTGAACCCAACTGAATGCAAAATATTGTACTGTTATCCAAATCTCCATAAAAATGAGGTCCAAAAATTTAAAGAAAAATATATTAAAAAGACTTATCCATCCTCCCTCATCAATCCTCATCGACACTATGCCCATGCCGGGTCCCTCATACCTTAACATGCACACTTACAAGAATCCAAGCCGTACATGGAAGTTTCCCAATGAAAAAGGACTAGGAGACAATAGAGTAAAGAACATTGGGTTTGTAAAAATGTCAAAGCAAAAACTTAAGTGGAGCAACTAGCAATACACTCAAGATATCAACCAAGATAAATTTTTGCTTGGGCACAGAATATATTCCAGAAATCCTCAAACAAAATCCGTCCAACAACTAATTTAGGATCAAAACTTGAAGGTCTACTCAAGTTCCTAAAAGAGTTCCAAGAAGCACCTAAACAATCCTAGATAGGATTAGTAACCATTACAATATTCCTATGGAGTGAAGGTTTAATTTATTATCGCCCTCCTCTTCATACTACCGTTTCTATCTTTATCATTCATTGTCGTTAATTTCTCCAACACATTGTGAAGGTCCAATTCCTTATTGTTTTCCATCCAAAAAATCACATAAACACAGTTCTCAACCATGACATCTTATTCAGATTTACTTTGCCAGTTTTGACAAAAAACTACAGTTTTAACACACCAGTTAACAATAATCATTAAGTATTACCATGTCATAATATCACTCATGAATCACTATAAACAAAAGAAAAGGGAAAAAAAAACACAAATATAATCACAAGGCTTCTACCAAACAATAAGAATGCAAACTACAGATATTCCACGACAAAGATTTAAAGCTACATATAAAGAAAAAGCCCTTGTGANAACACAAATATAATCACAAGGCTTCTACCAAACAATAAGAATGCAATCTACAGATATTCCACGACAAAGATTTAAAGCTACATATAAAGAAAAAGCCCTTGTGACAAATGCCAGCTAAAATCATGGTTTCCCTTCAGTTAACATATTTTCAGAAATCTGAAACAATGAATAACCTACGTCAGTAAGTAGAAATGCTTTTGTTACATGCACACTAATTCACTAATTGCAAATTCCATGTTAAAATCCAGACCACAATTTATATAAAATATCCGCCAGCCAACATCACAAAATACTGAATCCTGAATTGTATTTATTCATTACTCTGCCAAAATTTAAGAATCAACCCCACATATTCTCGGGGGAGAACCGAATTAATAAACAAACTATAATTCATGACCTTCGTGCTAAAACTACAAAATCATAACACTATAACTCCTCAATCAATCAATCAATCATCTCTCTCAATGATGTTCAAAACCATCCCGTAATCAGACAATATAACTAGTATAAAACAAAAAAAAAATTTGAGGATAACCATTTACCTACGCCTCAGTGGCAGGTCTCTCTTTCCTTCCCTCTTCGCTTGCAGCCTCAATCTTCTTCTTATTCTTCTCAATCACCGCCGCTACTTCTTGGGGCATATACTTCTCATCATGCTTCGCCAAAACCTCGGTGGCCGCAAAATAACATTCCACACTCCTCGCCTTCTCCGAGACACTCTTCCTTCCGATCAAATTCTCCCTCTTAATCTCCTCCGTGATAGGCTTCACGAACCCCTCCACCACCACCGAATGGCCTTCTCTGAACAGATCCGGCAAGGACCCTTGGTATTTTACCAAAATGTCCGTGATCAAGTCCGTAATTACGAACTCCATTTCTGAACCAGGTTGGCTCACGCTTCCCTCGAGGACTAACCCGCCGAGTCGGAACTTGTTCTTCGTAGGGTTTTCAGTGTATTTGGTGAGAGCGTCGGTTGGGGTTACGTAGAACACCAAGGAATCTTCGAATTGATTGAGGACGATGATGATGAAGCCTGCGATGCTGCTGAAGGTTACGGCGTAGGTCCAGAGCCGGCGGTTCTGGAGTTGCCTGGCTCGGGATCCGATGTCTACACGGTTCGACCGGACTGGTTGGCGACGGCTGGTCGAGAAGAATCGATGAAGGTTGGAAGCGATCCATGGCAGCGGTTTGAGGTAAAAGATCGAGGGTTGAGATTTGGACATGGTGAAGAGAGGGGGATGGGGGTGGTTCAGGAGGGAGGTGGCGCGGAGGAGATGAGAGGCGAGTCGGGAGGTAAGTCTGGCGGCCATCGGAATTGTATTTTCTCGGGAAAGTTGCCGAAAGTTGGAGAATCAGGGTTTAAAAATGTACAGGAAAGACACGAGAGCTTGGGCCATTAGAAAATAAATTATTTAAATCTAAACACCTGATATTTCCTTGATCTTTCCGTTTCGACTTCACATGGAAATACGGAGGAAAGTCTGTTAAAAAGTTGTGTAGTGTTTAAATTATTTAATATGTAAATAATATATTTGTAATTGCGTACAGCGGATTTGTGTCTATGGCGAAGTTTATATTTGGAGATTTAGGGAGATCGGTAACTCTCTAAGAACTTAATAAGATAAAAGTATATTTTTTAAAATATTTAAGATAAAAATACATTTGTTAAAAAAAAATCATAAAAGTCATTTTAGATGAGAAAGATGAAGAGACCTTTAATTTTAAGAATCAATAATACAAAAAAGTTATTAATCACAATTTCCAAAACTAAACATTTCTTAAAATTTTTTGAATTCTAAAGATTTTTGTGATTTCAATTCTTACCATCAAATATATATATATATATATAATAAAGTAGAGTTGAGTTTGAATTTTGGAGACAAAGAAAGATTCAGATTTTTTTTGAGACAAAATATAAGCATATTCAACGAATAACGTAATCCCAATATAAGAGATAGTTCAAATCATTTTAAAATTTTTGATCCAATGGTCTACGGTATGTACTGAATTTTTNTAACGAATAACGTAATCCCAACATAAGAGACAGTTCAAATCATTTTAAAATTTTTGATCCAATGGTCTACGGTATGTACTGAATTTTTTTTCCCACCCAACTCAGGCCTTTCTCTCTGTCACGCCTCTCTCTCTCTCGCGCCTCTTTCTCTCACTTCTGTCTAGGGGTGCAACTTGAGCGGGAAAATCGATTTCAATCCGAGCCCAACCCGAAAAAATTAGGACTTGGGCTAAAGTTTTTAATACTTAGGTTGGGCTTAGGTCAAAAAACCCCAACCCAAATTCAATTTGGACGAGCTTCAGATTAACCCCTCGGGTTACCGAATTGAACTCGAATATTCATAACCATATAAATACATTTTTAAGTCTATGGTTAATCTGTTCTGAAGTCTTCATTGTGCGCCTCCCTCACTCACTATTTAAGTAGTGAACTCTATGTTTGTACAATAATTCTGGTTGTGTTTGCATTATCTCAAGCGCGCATTCCAAGAAAGATGCCAAAGAGAAAAGGAACGAGGGGAAGAATCGACGAGGAATCTATAACATAAAATCATGAATGAAAAAGCGTGACGAGAATTCTCAACTCGAGATGTTAAAAGGTGCAAAATCAATGGGTGTCGGAGCTACTACAATTGCTTCAGCGAGAGCTGCTATCAGTATTGGAAACGTCTTTAGTTCCTCGATTCATTCCATGGTGCGAAATCCATCATTGGCTAAACAATCATTTGGTTATGCCATTTTGGGCTTTGCTCTAACCGAAGCTATTGCATCGTTTGCCCCAATAATGGCTTTTCTGATCTCATCCGTATTCCGAGCGTAGGTTGAAGTTTCATAAAACAAGGACCTCTTTTTTTCCAACCTTACTCAAATAGAGGGGTGGGTGGGGTGTAGTTTTTAAATAGAAGAATGGCGATAAAGAGGAAGTTATGCAAATGTAAGAAAAAAAGAGTAGAATTGGAAGTCAAGTAAGAAGGAAGGAGGCTAGTCCCCGAAAATGCTCCGCGCATAGGTTTGTTTGTCGTTGGGGCTTACAATTCTCCTTCTGACTCATTCCTTCGGTCGAGCCTTCTTCGGGCGTCGATCAATCTATCACTCAATCACAGGCCGCTTTGTCATTGTCTAATTTTTGGTTGTCTGATCACACTCAACATTATGTATCTACTTATCGTATTTTTACCCCTGCTCGGTAGTTCTGTAGCAAGTTTTTTCGGACGTTTTCTAGGATCAGAAGGAACCGCTATAATGACCACTACGTGCGTTTCATTCTCTTCGATCTTATCTTTGATTGCTTTTTATGAAGTCGCATCAGGAGTTAGTGCTTGCTATCTAAGAATTGCTCCCATGGATCTCATCTAATGCAGCCTTAAATGCTTCAATTTGTCGATTTTAGTATTGAGCGAAAGGTTACACCTATGGATTATTTATTGTAGGCCAACTCTACTCCACTAGTCCAATAGACGGCATAGGGGAAAAAGCACTACGCCTATGAATTAAAAAAAATGAAAACTTTGTTAGAAATTACCCCCTTTCCTTATCAAGATCGGGATTAACAAGAATGGTTGGTACAACAAAATCCATCTCATTCGTACTTTGGATACCCCATAGAAGACTGTTGAAGTTCTTAATTCCTTAAAATTCATGGGCGTTAGGGACAAAGAAATTTTTGGAGTTACCTTTTTTATATATCTAGTTTTATATATCTAGTATCAACAGCTTGATACTAAAAAAATAAAAAGATCAAGAAACCCATCGAAATCACTAGCTTCAGAGTCAATGTTGGCTTACTGAATACTAACTTGAGAACTTCATGTCATCATAAGAGTCTCAAAATATACCCCACAACTGGAGGCTTTGCTTCGGTCACGATACAAGTGAAAAAAGAAAAATGTTCATAAGCTTATGAATATGAAGCCGCTTCTTTAGAAATATTATAATGTGTGCCGCTGTGATCGTGGTGTAGGAGGTTTTTATCCCACTTTGTGAAAGAATCGATAGCTACTAAGATGTATTTATGTCCAATTGGCTGCCTTCGGGTTAACCTTCCTATAATATCTAGGCAATATACTGCAAAGGGCCATGATGTGGTTTGGTTATGAACCTGCGTCGGCAACGCGTAGATCAAATTCGCATGCACTTGGCACTTGTGGCATCTCTGAAGAAAATGGATGCAATCCCTCTCCCTCATACAAGAGTAATATCCTAGGTGAAGTCTTTTTTTGGCAAGCCTGTGCCCATTCATGTGTGGACCACAGACTCCTTCATGCACCTGGATTATCATCTCTTTGGCCTCCCTTTCATCTAGACATGGCAACAGAATGTTGTTGGAAGACCTTATTATGCAACCTATCCCCACAGATTATGGACTACATGGCTAGTCTTTGAATGGTCTGCCTATCTCTCGGTCTAGCGTCAGGAGTGATTGCTCTCGTACTTTACTTTCCTTTCTTTTTGGCTTACGGCTTACTTGCATCCAAGCGTACTAAAAATGGAGTTTCNTAATGTTGTTGGAAGACCTTATTATGCAACCTATCCCCACAGATTATGGACTACATGGCTAGTCATTGAATGGTCTGCCTATCTCTCGGTCTAGCGTCGGGAGTGATTGCTCTCGTACTTTACTTTCCTTTCTTTTTGGCTTACGGCTTACTTGCATCCAAGCGTACTAAAAATGGAGTTTCTTTCTATTTTTGGCCTTATTTACCCTAAAACTTGCCCCTTAGGTGCTATGGTGAATAAGGGGACCAGTTTTTCCTTTCCCAGTCCAGTCCCCTCCCTACGGTCTACTGTGGACAATAGTAAGGCATCTTGTTTCATAATCGCCTTGTAGATAAGATGGCTTCTGTGAGGGGTAGTTTGTATTAGGGAAAATGAGACCTGGGCTGACTCTATACCTATGAGAATGTCTATCTCCCTCCCTTACCTGTGCTTATTATCGTACCTTTGTTTTCCCCTACTAGGGCACACAATCCCTGGTCAACGACGGGGTTTGACTCTGGTCACATTGACGATGATGACAGGCTGTCATTCATGCACCGTTATAAGGCTAAGGCTATAATAGTTGGAGTTGTTGAGAACCTGTAATCAACATTGAATAGTCTAATTGCTAGCCATAACTTTTTTCAAACTTGAGGCCTAGGGAAGAGAGGGATGAGTCTTCTAATCGAGTCTCCCAACAATGGACTCATTATCTCAATCAAACTCTTTTATTGCATTCGAAGTATGCCTAGTCCTCTTATCTATTAACAAGCTAGTGTTATTTTCATCGATCAGTTGGCGCCGGCATCTCAATGGCTAGGCACTACCTTACTCGTAATAGCCACTATGGCCAGCTTTTCTACTGCCAGCGTTATCCTATCTTTTTTAGTTTCAGTTATTCTCTGGATGTGCTTGTCCGCCTTCTCGAGTCTGTAGACTTGCTTCCTAAAGCCCCACCCTTTAAGGGGCTGCCTATCTGTGATCAACTTCTTGACTTTTGTTTGAGCCTTTTCTTTGCTGTTAGTTGTAGCATGTTGTCTTAGTCGGCTAGCTTTACTTTGTCTTATCATATTCTAGTGGTGTAGCTTTTTTTTTCTCCAGACCACCACCAACAGCCTTAGCTAGTGTGACTTTCCGCTCTAGAAATGAGAGTCAAGCTGTGAACAACGAAGAAAAAAAAAAGAAAGATTAGGCCCTTCTCAAAGGGGTTTAACTTCTCCCTTGTTGTCCAATTCCTTCCTTTGGCTGGAAGCCTTTACTGGGGTCGACCCACCTACATAGAACCGGATTGCAGATAGAACTTCATAGATCTTGCTTACCGACTTACAATCATCAGGCATACAAATTTTGTTAATATAGAGAAGTTGTTACCTTTGAATTTGACAAGGGTTCGGCCACAACTGCTCTAGCCATGTTGCATAAGAAGGAAATACTGAACAACTTACATACGGAGAGACAACTCAAAGTTTCCGGGCAGTATACCCGTCTCCTACTATTCAACATTTTGGCTTAGGCTTTCTCTGCGTTTTCTACTCGTCTAGCATTCTGTTCTCCTTTGTCTTATTTTTTTATTACATCTTTCTTTGTTCTTATTCCTTGAGTTGACTTAGTAGGTTGAAAATCTACTTTGTTATTAGCTTAGGTTGGGTTGAATTTCCAGTATTCGGGCCTCAACACCGAAGTTCATCCCGAGGCCGAGGTACGTAGTGACGTCTCTTGCTGGGCCTTTGATAAGGAATGGTCAGTTTGTTAGTCTTAATCTAGTGACTGGCCTTGCTCCGAGCGATATTCGAAGTATGTTTCGCTTAGCCAATTTAGCGGGATCTTATTCAACAACTTCACCCATAGCTTGAAATTGATTTTGCTTTCTCCTATTCTATTCTCGCCATGATAAAGACGCACATAAGAGGTATGCCCAGCGCGCGGAGGATCTGTTGAGAGTTTGTCTCGGTAGGGAACTTTACGATCATTTGCCCTATTTTGTTGAATCAATAAAAAAAGTGGTCAATGCTACGACCCCTATTGTTTAATCCAATATTGACCGGGGGAGCCTCGACTTCCATAGGTCCTTGATTTGACCTCTCGTAGTGGTCCTTGCTTTTAAGAAAGTGGAGTGGGGCCAATTTCTCGTACTTGCTCAGTGTGCCCCCCTTTCGTCAAGTGACCCACCCGGTTCACTGGGCTGTTGGCCTACCAAGCACTTGCTCGTTGCTCCTGTCGCCCGCTTGGAAGGCAGAGCGCTCATTTTCCTTACTTTACTTTTCTCTCTACCGAGGCCCCTCCCATTGATCTAGCCTTAAGATGTTTTCTCATCTACTTCTTGTGTGTCAATTCATGCTTAACAACTCCCATGTCTTTCCTGGGTCAAACCCAGGCACATTTCATAAAAATTTTGCCAAAAAGCAAGGTTCACACAAAAATTCTTGCTGCTACATAAAAAGGTTAAAGAGCAGCGGGAATAAGAAAAGAAGGAAGAATTGAATAGTTAACATGTTTCCATTTGTTTCAATACTAGAAAAAGTAGCAACAGTAGCAAAAGTTGTCATTGTCGATAAACATGAATATCAACCTAAACCCCAAGAAGGTAAAGGTAGTGCTCAGCCTCAATCCCAAATAACTACGATTCCTTCTTCAAGTCATGGAAAAAGCATTCCAATACTAATTCAGAATGGTTCTGAAAAATAGAACATTCCAATGGAAATGAAAAGAAGCAAGGAAGTTGGTTCCTATGATTAGAATACATTCCATCAAGGAGTCCAACATCCTTTCCAAAGGTGGAAAACATTGATTGGAAGGAGCAAACTCCCGCAAACCATTGGTGAAAACACCAATTCATGTACATAAAAGTGGGAAAGGAAAAGCCCGGGTTTCTACCATCCAATCAATCAAAAGAGAGANATTTGACAAGGGTTCGGCCACAACTGCTCTAGCCATGTTGCATAAGAAGGAAATACTGAACAACTTACATACGGAGAGACAACTCAAAGTTTCCGGGCAGTATACCCGTCTCCTACTATTCAACATTTTGGCTTAGGCTTTCTCTGCGTTTTCTACTCGTCTAGCATTCTGTTCTCCTTTGTCTTATTTTTTTATTACATCTTTCTTTGTTCTTATTCCTTGAGTTGACTTAGTAGGTTGAAAATCTACTTTGTTATTAGCTTAGGTTGGGTTGAATTTCCAGTATTCGGGCCTCAACACCGAAGTTCATCCCGAGGCCGAGGTACGTAGTGACGTCTCTTGCTGGGCCTTTGATAAGGAATGGTCAGTTTGTTAGTCTTAATCTAGTGACTGGCCTTGCTCCGAGCGATATTCGAAGTATGTTTCGCTTAGCCAATTTAGCGGGATCTTATTCAACAACTTCACCCATAGCTTGAAATTGATTTTGCTTTCTCCTATTCTATTCTCGCCATGATAAAGACGCACATAAGAGGTATGCCCAGCGCGCGGAGGATCTGTTGAGAGTTTGTCTCGGTAGGGAACTTTACGATCATTTGCCCTATTTTGTTGAATCAATAAAAAAAGTGGTCAATGCTACAGCCCCTATTGTTTAATCCAATATTGACCGGGGGGAGCCTCGACTTCCATAGGTCCTTGATTTGACCTCTCGTAGTGGTCCTTGCTTTTAAGAAAGTGGAGTGGGGCCAATTTCTCGTACTTGCTCAGTGTGCCCCCCTTTCGTCAAGTGACCCACCCGGTTCACTGGGCTGTTGGCCTACCAAGCACTTGCTCGTTGCTCCTGTCGCCCGCTTGGAAGGCAGAGCGCTCATTTTCCTTACTTTACTTTTCTCTCTACCGAGGCCCCTCCCATTGATCTAGCCTTAAGATGTTTTCTCATCTACTTCTTGTGTGTCAATTCATGCTTAACAACTCCCATGTCTTTCCTGGGTCAAACCCAGGCACATTTCATAAAAATTTTGCCAAAAAGCAAGGTTCACACAAAAATTCTTGCTGCTACATAAAAAGGTTAAAGAGCAGCGGGAATAAGAAAATAAGGAAGAATTGAATAGTTAACATGTTTCCATTTGTTTCAATACTAGAAAAAGTAGCAACAGTAGCAAAAGTTGTCATTGTCGATAAACATGAATATCAACCTAAACCCCAAGAAGGTAAAGGTAGTGCTCAGCCTCAATCCCAAATAACTACGATTCCTTCTTCAAGTCATGGAAAAAGCATTCCAATACTAATTCAAAATGGTTCTGAAAAATAGAACATTCCAATGGAAATGAAAAGAAGCAAGGAAGTTGGTTCCTATGATGAGAATACATTCCATCAAGGAGTCCAACATCCTTTCCAAAGGTGGAAAACATTGATTGGAAGGAGCAAACTCCTGCAAACCATTGGTGAAAACACCAATTCATGTACATAAAAGTGGGAAAGGAAAAGCCCGGGTTTCTACCATCCAATCAATCAAAAGAGAGACAGAAGTGGGATTACTGGACATCAGTAAGGATGACACTCGAATACAACCTTATCCACCGAAACAAGAGGACGTCTTCTTTGACGCGGTGGATGTCTTTCTTGAAAAAGTTGTTGCCAGATTTAGGCAATCGACCTTGATAGTATGTTTTCCATTAGCTATTGGCCTCACTATTTGGTGGGCTGGAATGCCTGAGTTTGTAATTGATTGGGTGCCTGAATGCTGCCTAGATCATAAATGGATCAAGATATGGAAAGGGATAATGGAAATATCTATCGTATTACAACAAGGTGTTCTCGATGAGAATGGTACCATAGGGGGCATTCCCATGACTGACCTGGTCAACTCAGAATCAAGAGAATACTTTGAAAGAACAACCTTCGATCCCCTAGATATAAAGAAAAGACATAACAGAAAGGTTACTATTGCGGTACTCTTTGTTGCCTATTTAGCATTAGCCTTGAGTTGCGAAGAAGCATTGCAGGTAGTAGCTCATATACCAGTCGAAGAGTTAATGGTGTAGTTCATTTTATGAATCTTGGCCCTATCACACAATGTTGCGAGAACGCTTGAGAGATGGCTTATGGCATAGAGCTGGGGTAGGTAAGTTTGCTGAATGGGAATAGATTTGAGTATTGTGAATAGTTGCCGAGTGGTTTTCTACCTCAATCTAAGAGGTTATTGCATAGGTGTTAAAGGGAGAACTGCGAGAAGCCAAACCCGCTCATCGAGTTGGGCCAACCTATGGAATCCTTAGTAAGGTCACTAAATTGGAAGAAAAGCTACGCAACAAGAATTCCTTCTTTATAGTAGTTCTCGAACGAGGTTTTTCAACAAAACTTTGATAGGCGATTCGTATAAGCATAGGAGCATTCGCCCGAAATGTGATGCGCCACCCGTACTAAGATTTTAGCAGAGAGTGATCTTTCTTCATGCAATAGTTTCCTCCGCCCCTTGACTACCTTATTGATAGAAATGAAATTCTCGTGTACTTAGATTGAATTAGTGTGGTTCGGTTACTCTTACGCAAGCAAAGGAAAATGTTGGCCTTTCTTTTTGGCTTATTCGTGCTGACAAAAAGTAATTGTTCTCACTTGCATCACATTATGATTGGCTAAAAAAGGTCAGAGGGAGGAGAATTGCAAGGGGGAGGGAGGATTCTCTTGCAGATAGAATATAGATAAGGTAAGGACATTGCAACAATAGCTATGCCTTATCTTCTCTTGGTTTTTATGTTAAAACCTTAATTGAAGTTGTTGGTTGTTAATTTAGGTGAATATTATGTAATATATGTATCAGGTTTAGAACAACAAGTCTATTTTAGGCTCAACCTGAATTCAACCCGATTTAAACCAGTAAAGTACCAAAATTATTAACCCGAATTCAACCCGAGCCCGCCCGAATTATACTTGCGTAGTGCTCAGGTTGAGTCCGTCAACCTGAGTTATGGTTAGGGTTAGGGTTGAAGATTATATACCTAGGATTGGGCTAGGGTTGACTATCCAACCCACCCAAAGTTCTGCCTCCTTGTCCCTCACGCCTCACTCTCTCACTTCTGCCTCCCTCTCCCAATCTATCACGCCTCTATCACATGGAATCCATCTCAAATCTTCTCCTAATCTTAAATCTCACTCATAATAGTCGCATTAGGATGGCTACAGTAGAGAAAGAGACAGACGAAAGGCATAGAGAGAGAAAGAGAGGAAAAAGGTAGACAAAGAAGATCCTATGTTTCAGGTACGCTTTGTATATGCACGAATAACCTCTGTTTTTAGTCTATGGGTTGCGAATTTGTAATTGCCTTTGTGTTTGGAAATTCATGTTTTGGTTAGAAATTAGTGAATAAGGTTAGATCTGGGTGATGTAATTCTTATCTGTGTACCCATCTCTCTCTCACGCCTCTCTCACTATTCTCAGCCTCGAAACCAGACCATCACTGTCACCACCAACTCTATACACCATCCTACCCATCTCTCTTACCCTCTGTCCCAACCTTGATGTATTGGTTCACACACACCCATACACACCGAACCCCAAGTGTTTGTGGTATGCTTCAATGAGTTCGCTATGTGGATTTATCTATACTTTTATTGTACTTTTCATTCCCTCTTTCATAGTTTGGTTGAACTCTATTTTCCCTATTATAGTGAAGGGAGTGAAAGAACTACCAATGTAGAGCCTATATTTCAAGTCCATGGTGATGAGTATGAAGCTACCAATGCAGAAGTGAAAGCTTCACAAAAATTGGTGAAGGCAAAGCGCCAAGAAATAGATTCAGTACAATCTATGATCAACAAAGTGAAGAATGCCATTTCTATTGAAGGTATTGATGCCCTGGTAAGCATTGGCTTTTCTCTCATTTTGTTTCCCTAGGATCTTTTTTTTGATAAAAATGTTTCCATGGAAACTGAACTAGGGATAACCTGAAATGTTTTCTCACTTAACCTATCACGCATACATTTTGAATTTTTGTCCTGGAATTAGATAAACAATTTGGAACACATGATAGAACATGAAACCCTGCCTTTAAAGGAAGAAAAGCAATTCATTCATGAAATTAAGCAACTGAGGCATCTTCGCGGGCAATTGTCTTCTAATATAGGGAGCTGAGATGAAGTTTAGCAGGCTTTGCAATAGAAAGACCAAGTCGAAGAATGTTTGAAGGTATCATAATTGGCTCCTAATTGGTATAATTTTAAGATTTGATAGGTTNCGAGATGAAGTTTAGCAGGCTTTGCAATAGAAAGACCAAGTCGAAGAGTGTTTGAAGGTATCATAATTGGCTCCTAATTGGTATAATTTTAAGATTTGATAGGTTGTTCATCGTGGCATCATTGCTTTGATAAGAGTTATAACTGTGCGAAAATCCAGGATTTTTAACTTACTTTTGCTAGAATATTTGACCTGGCTATCTTGGTACCATTGAGGTTATTTGAACATAATAAAAAGGATGTTATATATTTTAGAAGTTGGGATTGCTTTTCTCTTAATTTTTTCTCCCAATTTTACTGATTTGATTTCAACATTTGTAGATTCTAAGGAAAGAGTTGGATTGCCTTAAAGACAAGGTTTCAAAAGCTGAAGCAGCTGCTGTACTAGGGGGGGGGGAGAAATATGAAGATGAAAGTAAGAGGCTAAAGGAATTGCAAGCTCAATTTAGGGCTGCCGATGACATTCTTCAACAAGCATACTCGCATTTCTTGAGTTTGAGAGCATAATTGCTCGCGAAGGTTTGTTGTTTATTTTTTTGAGGTCATATTTATTTACTTTTTGCAAATATGATTATGTACAAATTCAACAACTTTATGGATAGTGCATTGGCTCTTAACCAATGACTTCCCTCTTCTAAATCACAACAAGGCTTGATACTGTAAACCCACACTTTTATCTTTATATATGTATATAGGTTTATATAGCAAGTTATTATTTCTTTTGAAATGTTAATATGAAAAAATTCGAGTAAATAGTAGTTAACTTAGTTTTAGCTTGCAAATATATGAAATCGTCGTAAAAGAACTTGTACCAACTAGGTTTGATGTACAAAAGTATGTTGTATAAGTTTGGGTTGGAATTGGAATGGTTTGGAATGGATTGAAAATGAAGAAGGGAGGATTTGTAGAAAAACAAGCAAAACCCACCGGAAGGTCGATGAAAAACCTTCTGGAAGGTTAAGGTAAATGCTTATCCAGTAGGCAAAGCCTTTCGGAAGGTTGATGAAAAATCTTCCGGAAGGATAATGAAAATGTTGTCCAGCAGACAAACCTTTCGGAAGGTTAATGTAAATGTTCTTTCGGAAGGTTAATGTGAATATTTATCCAGTGAGAAAAACCTTCTAGAAGGTAAAGGAAATGTTTGTCTAATAGGCAAACCTTTTGGAAGATCGATGAAAAACCTTCCTAAAGGTTTTCTAAAAATCTGAAATTTTAAGTCACAACACAGCCGGTTCTCCTTCTACTATAAATACCTAAGGACATCCCATTTAGCCCCATTTCAACACTTCTAACCCTAGAAAACCTTAGAGAGGAAGAAAGGAAGAGAAAAACACAAGATCAAAGGAGATTTCCACTTCCAGAAGATCAAAACTCTAGTTTTTAAAGAACACCTAGTTCTTCTTGACTCAAAACCCTAGTTTTCAAGAGAAATAGATTTTTCTCTTGAATTTTCCTTTGTTCTTGATTTCAAAACTTTAGTGCTTTATATTGAACCACAAAATTGTATTTATTATGATCTCTAGCATATTTTCCTAAATTGTTCTATTGGGATACTACTTGTGAAATTTGAGAATTTTTGAATTTAATTGTGATTGGAAAAATTGATTGGATATTGTCTCTTGTGGATGTTTTGATGACCATGGGTGGCCGTTGACCGGATATTGTAGAGTGGGTTTGAAGGTCCCTATCACTCATAGTGGGGTTAGTGCCTTGCGAGGACTAAACCACTATTTGCTCACGGGTACCGAGGAGAAGAGGTAGTATACTATTCTTGGGTTGGATTCATTACTGCCATGAGTTGGTATACGCCCTTCCTAAAGGTTGGATATCCTTGCGAGGATTTGGGTGTGTATGTGTGGGCCAGAATATTCTCGATGTGTTTATTCATGCGAATCATGTATCATACCTAAGATACGAATACAAGTTGTGGGTTTATGATTTATTGTACTAGAAAAGGTTTTCTACAAGAGCTTGTGGAGGTATGGGACTCTACAAGGACTTATGAGAAACGATTTATGGTTGGAAATGGTTTATTGTAGGGAAATTCATTTTACTGTTCATTTAAATTATTGCTATTGCGTAAACTTGAGATCCGTTGAAATGTCCCGATTTTATTTCAAAAAGTGATATCTGATATTTGCAAAATGAGGCCAACTTGCTTTATACGTTTTCTAAACCTTGTTTGAGTTTGAGAGGAATATTGCAACAAAGCTTAGTGCTCATCCCCTACAAACTATATATTGTTCAGATTGTGGTCTAGATGAGGAGCTTAGAGTTGAGGAGCCGATACATTGGGAAGCTCCACTAGACGGGCTCATGGATCCCGAGGTGGACGTCTAGGGTGATACTCTCCTAGGTACTAGATGACTTGATTCGAAATGTGTACACCCAAGTGTAGGTGGTCAAGTTGTAGTAATAATCCGGTGAAGTTTGGAGTCGAATCCACAGGGAACTATGATTGGTATCTTTGAAGTAAGCAATAATAGAGAGTGAGTAACTTGGAAATTTCGAGTGTTTGGAGTGGTGGGGATTTCTTGAATAGAATAGAAGATTCTTTTCAAGAGTTTTGTAGACAAAATATAAGATTCTTAAAATGCAACAGCCACCCATTAGCTCGAGGATCAGGACATGTAATAGAGTATCCATTTTGTTATGTTTGTGCTTTATAACTCAATTAACTCTCGTGTCAATAGCAAGTTAATCGGATGATAAAGATGGACTATGAGAATTAAGCATATGATTCCGATGCCTTTCTAGAAATTTACAAGAATTATCTGTGCTGAGACTTAACCCGTCTACAAACAAGCAAGTATTTATACAAAGCATCCAACCATGACATTAATGATCCATTCTTTGAATAAAGTGTAATGATAGTGGGGATTTGTCCGCATAACTTTTCTGTCTACTCTAAGCAACCTGAAGTCTTTCCTGAATCAACTATACTTTATTCGTGGTCTCTTGTACTATCTCTGGCCCATTTATCTTTCTTTCCCCGACTTCAGCCCAACAAATTGGAGATCTACATTTTTGCCCATATAAAGCCTCATACGGTGCCATGTCAATGCTAGCTTGAAAGCTGTTATTATAAGTAAACTCAACCAGTGGTAAATGTTCTTCCCAAGAACCCTTTAAGTCAAGCATACAAGCACGAAACATGTCTTCTAATATTTGAATAACTCTCTCCAACTGTCCATCTGTCTGTGGGTGGTAAGCTGTACTAAATCTCAACTCAGTGCCCATAGCCTTTTGTAAACTACCCCAAAACCTTGAGATAAATCGAGGATCTTTATCTGAAACAATTGACACTAGGGCCCCATGTAATTTCACAATTTCCTTTACATAAAGTTTAGCAAATTTCTCCAAGGGATAAGTAGTCCTCACATGCAAATGTGTGTGGACTTTGTCAATCTGTCCACCACAACCCAAATAGAATCAAGTCCACTCGGGGTCTTAGGTATTCCACTCACGAAATTCATGGTAATGTGCTCCCACTTCCACTCAAGAATAGGAAGTGGTTGCAATAATCCCCTTGACCATTGGTGTTCTGCTTTCACTTTTTGACATGTCCAACANTCCAATCACGAAATTCATGGTAATGTGCTCCCACTTCCACTCAAGAATAGGAAGTGGTTGCAATAATCCCCTTGACCATTGGTGTTCTGCTTTCACTTTTTGACATGTCCAACACCTAGACACATATTCAGTCACTTCCCTCTTCATATTATTCCACCAAAATATCCCTTTCAAGTCCTGATACATCTTTATACTTCCCGGATGAACCTTACACGAATTTAGTATTCAAGAATACACTCAATACGTCTTTTCATGCAACATGAATGCCTATATCACCCNCGACCTTTGGTGTTCTGCTTTTACTTTTTGACATGTCCAACACCTAGACACATATTCAGTCACTTCCCTCTTCATATTATTCCACCAAAATATCTCTTTCAAGTCCTGATACATCTTTATACTTCCCGGATGAACCTTACACGAATTTAGTATTCAAGAATACACTCAATACGTCTTTTCATGCAACATGAATGCCTATATCACCCACTCTTCCTTCACAGGACTTTGGATTGAGGTGTCGTCCCTTGGACTCCCTTTGCCCTTGTCATCTCTGGCACAATCAAAGAAGTCACGGAGAAAAAGAGAACACTAGCTAGGTGACAAATTCATGAGATTCTGCCAGATGGAGCTGGGCACAAAATCTTTCCTGGAGACATTCTAAAATCCGAGATCAATACAAGAATTTGGGGGAACTAGAGAGAATTATGGGTCTAGAGGGCCTCCCTTGGGTTTATCAGAAACAGATGGAGAGGTTTGAGGGAGTGGATCTGAACGGTTTGAGAGAATGAAATGTTTTTCTGCTGGTATAATCCGTTATAATTTTTTTGCCACAACGGGTACTAACCGGAAGGAAGCAGCATTCGACTAGCAGGTAGCTCAATACAAAGTTCCAACAATTTTTTGATTGTTTTCTTTTTATTTCTCCTCTTCTAAATAAAGTAAAACAAAACTAATTAGAACCCCAAGTCGTAAAACTCAAAGTGGATCCAATTAAGTCCTTAGTCTTATTCGACAGTGAGACAAATTCTTAGTATCTACAACCTAAAAAGCACAATAATCAGTCTTGTTGAATGCCAAATTCAACAGAAAATTAAAATTGCACGCCACTTTCTTTGGCAGCATTAATACATTTAGCCTATCCACAATGCCGTCACACCCCTAGGTTACTTCTGGCGGAAGAGCATTGTCTCGTGAAAGTTTCTAGAGAAGACGCCTACTAACTTCAACTGATCTGTCTAAAATTTTAATCAGTTTCCCGTAATCACCATGAAAGCAAAGACATACCATATCTACTCAATCTAGTTCACACATAGCTCTTCCAATGGCACAAAGGCTATGCAAGAGTATTCACAATGATGTTCGAACCCCAAACCCTTGTTTGTGTGATACGATCGTGCAAGTGAAGAAATTCGCAAAACAAGGTTCATTTCCCAATTACGGATCCAAATTTAGGTCTTTGGCCAAACTAACCAAAGTTTTCACACTAAGAAATTGAATTCACTGACTGTCATGACCACGCCACTCGCAATTGCACGTGAGGACCAAATTTAGGTAATCCAGACAAATTTTACTCACATTTTTCAAAAGAGTAGAACGAATCCACCAGTTNTCTGCTGGTATAATCCGTTATAATTTTTTTGCCACAACGGGTACTAACCGGAAGGAAGCAGCATTCGACTAGCAGGTAGCTCAATACAAAGTTCCAACAATTTTTTGATTGTTTTCTTTTTATTTCTCCTCTTCTAAATAAAGTAAAACAAAACTAATTAGAACCCCAAGTCGTAAAACTCAAAGTGGATCCAATTAAGTCCTTAGTCATATTCCACAGTGAGACAAATTCTTAGTATCTACAACCTAAAAAGCACAATAATCAGTCTTGTTGAATGCCAAATTCAACAGAAAATTAAAATTGCACGCCACTTTCTTTGGCAGCA